TGTGTGTGTGTGTGTGTGTGTGTGTGTGTGTGTGTGTGTGTGTGTGTGTGTGTGTGTGTGTGTGTGTGTAAGCTCATGAGGGCATTTTGTATCCATGTGTGCCCAGAACTTTATGTATGTTGACTCGCTGTGAGTGTGTCAAGTTTTATTATATCCCTGGAGTGTGTGCACACACCTATAAGAGCCAGTGTTTCTGCTTGTGCCCACATATTAGTTTCTTTTATGTGCGTGTGTGTGTGTGTGTGCATAATGCTGCAGGATTGCAAATTGCTCATTGAGGTTTAGATGACTCCCCGTGCTCCTCATTCTGAGCTGGAAATGTTGAAACCGTACCTGATCCCAGCAGGTCTTTTACAGCCTCGGAGAGAAGCCCAAAACTCCGCCTGAAACCACGGGTGACGCATTCGCCGCACATAACGTCTTCAARTTTCCACAAAAAAGCCTCACCAAGCAGATCGGACCTTTTTTTGTTTTGTTTTGTTTTTTGTGCTGCTGCTCAGTCTTCCCCTCATAAATAAAATAAGTTTAAAGGATGTTCCTTCAGCTTATCAGACAGGAGTGATTTGTTGCAGGGTTTATGTGAAGACGTTGTCCTGCAATGACAGCTATTTCCAGGTGTTGTCGGTCRTTATTTGGTGCTGAGACCTCCTCCGTTCTCTTATTTCGGACCCAATTCAGTTTATCATAAAACTTTATGGCCAATCTCAGGAGAACAGTGGAGAGAAAGAGAGAAGGAGAGTAGAATGAGTGAGAAAAAATGTTTTTTTCTAAATGGGGGAACTTTAAGAGATCTCTTTTCTCTTTATCTTATTTTTATTAGTTGTTCTGCATAAAACATAAAGGTGCTTGTCCTGCAGGCGTTTGCAAAGAACTCGTTGAAAYGATTTAGAGGACATGACAATTGTTGTCTTCTATGTTTTTTGTCCACATATTTAACTTTAAACATGCTCTTGTTATAAAGTTGCTTCATATTGCATATTRTGTTTGCTTTGTTTTGAAGACAGATTCAATAAAGAAACTACTGACTTAATATGATAGGAATCAAAGCAACATTTCAGCAAAACTGAGGTTAAAAGCAGTTGAAGTGAGAGTAAAGACCTGCTGCTTGTGATCCTCAAGCTTTCAAAGCCCGAAAAATCACAGTGTGAGCACTTGGGACTCAGATCCGTCTGTGAACAGCCTGTTGTTTCTTCTGGATAATTAGGCCAATTAGCRTTTAAAAACCCTCCTCTGTCCTCTTCACTCCAGTGACTCAGCTGAAGGAAAAATTGATTAAAAGTGTAATTATTATCATCCTCCAAYGAGGCCCTGAAGAGCCTTTCATAAGACAGTACAGAGGGGATATGAGCGTTAATCTCATCCACTCTATTGATTATCACTCAGTATTGAGYACAATGAAGAGGCTCGAGGGCATTTTAGTGAAGCCCCTGACACAGTGAGAGTAAACTCAAGGTGATTGGTACTCACAGAGATAACAGCTGGAAGCTTGTGAAAAAAGTCRCTGCAGTTGATTGTTAGGAGCTCCAATTTATTGAAACAACTTGAGGTTGAAAGGAAGTCGCTATCCACTTTCATTTCTGTGGCCAGTCTCCACAGCTGGRCTAATATTAGAACAAGGCTGGCTTTTTTTTTACATATTGTGGATTTATCTCATTTGCTGTGACTAGTTGCACATTGTGCGCTCTTACCCGTTTTTTGCTATCAGAGTCAYATAAGACAGGTTTGTTCAAAAACCAAGTGATGGTGACTACATGTGTCTCTGATAACAGGAAGATTACAGCCCATGTCGACTTGTGATGCGGGTTTTCCGGAATAACGTGAAAAAAATATATAGGGCACTTATCACCAGTTCATGGCCTGTGGGCAAAGTTTGTCATTCTGATTGGTCAATAATATAAAAAAACAGTTTGATATAATGGTCAGTGTTTAGCTGGTGATGACTCAGGTATTGGTAAACATGAACCTAGCTGAGCTCATTGTAACATCGTTTAGGTCAGTAGCATGGAAGRTGCACTAAATGTAGCAAAACTGAGTTTGAGTATAGGTCAGGTAAGCTAATATTTTGCTGATTTTGGCTTGATGTCTAAAGAATAGTCACTYCTGTCTTTAAATTTTAAAGCAGCTTTTGATTTAAAGCTTTTTGCACAGACAGTTTAGCACTAAATCAGCATTTCCTGGGACCTGAAAGTAAACAGCCCACCTGTGGAATACGCTCCATGTTTGCAGGGAACCAGCTAACAGGGTGCAGCTGAGGAAAATGTGACGTGTTTATTCAACCAAAGTGACAAGATGTCCGATTATAGCCTCTGACTGGATTGTGGTTGTAAACGCTGACAGTGAAAGTGTGTGAGATGGAGAAAGATATAATGTGAGTTTGTAAAATACACAAAGGGGTGATACATAAGCATGTGAAATGACTGATCATCACATCTAAATAATGTACAACAAACAAAAAAAATCACTTCATTTGCGCTTCAGACTGCAGCAGGTTTTTACTGTGGATGACTTTATCCCCTGCTTAACTGTATTCTGTGGTTGTGTGTGTGGGAGCGTGTTTGTTAGTCTTTGATGTGCTAAAAAAGACCCCAAAAATCAAAGGCTGCACCTCATGCCCTGCACTGATTTACTGCCTATTTGTTTTGTGTATCAGGTTTTTTTTTTT